TGAAGGTTTCTCCTCTTACTGACTGTATGAGGGGAGCTTAATCAGAACTGCTGCTTGGCTTAACCGGTTTATCTTTCATCCTTGATGGCACTGGTTTGGTCATAGTAGTATTGTTTGGAAAATATATTTTTCAAACATTAGTTTTCTGTAAAAAAGGTAAGGAGAGACTGCAGATTTTATACTCGCCCTGTACAAAAACTAAAATGGAATACAGAAAAAGATCCACTATATTTATGAGTTTTGGAATTTACTGACTGTTTATACAGAATTGCACTATGGTGGTTTTGTCAGAAATGGTTTTTTTGCAGAATTAAGATTTTAAAGAATAATGACAATTAGTGAAATGCATTTCAGAAAGTGTCATCTCTCAGGCAAGACGAATTTTAGTAAATGACGATATTCAGTGCTTATGTTAGGTTTGAACAATAAAGACAGCAAAGTGTTATGACCATCAAAAGATACAGTAAATCCTCTATGAGGAGTACAACAATAGACTATTATCAAATGCATTAGTTTCTGTACTGAACAGATCAGAAACACACAAGAATGCTAATTTAAGGCTCTTTAACATGTTAATGCAAGCAGTGCTTTAGGGAATGCTCAACCAAAAAGCAGTAAGACCTGTACATACAGAGTATCACCACATTATTTTTTTTTTCTTGCATGCAGTGTAATAATGTGAGTATGAACATTAACTCTTACTCAGTAGGGACACCAGCTTCACAAGGTAAAAGGCAGTGTCTCACACCTTCAAGTGAAAGTGTTTACTGTCCTGCTGCATACAACCTTGCTGTTTATCCCTTATCGTATGTAGCGTGCATGTTTCTGCAACAAATTAGAGCAGTTTAAGGGCACAGAACATGTTCCTACTGCACAGCAGGAAGCCAAGAACAGTTCTGCAACATACCCACCATGGGTTGTCTTCCTAACTAGTTAAAAATGTTGAAGTGCACTGGTGCTGGAACTGAACATACTGTGTTTGTTTTGCTGCACTCAGAGGCATCACTGGAACCCACCTTCCCTGTTAGAAAGTGAGGCTCAGGATGAAGTTGCTCAGTGCCAGTGACCTAGGCTGTTCATTGTTGTGTCAATTTTTTAATGGAAGTGTTGTCACATTATGTAGAGAAGAACATCAAGCTGTTTCTGTAAGTTGGTTGAGACTGGTAAAAGCTGCAGTTTCCCTCTCTTTCCTAAAGCCAGGTAAAGTATTTGCATATATCTGTGAGTGGCATTATTTTTGGACCATCTAAGGCAGGGTGAAACCTGGTGCAAGTCAGTGATCCATCAGTCAACAATGCATCCTTCTGTGAAAGGATGATAAATAGTGGTACCGCTCAGTGGCTGAACTTTTTCCCTGCTCCCATTTCACTAGCACAAGGAGAGAAACCCACTATATTACTCATTATGTTATGTGGGTGTTCTCAGTATTGCCAGTGAGAAAAAGTAAGATTTCATGAAAGAAGGCTGAAGATTAAATACACGTGTCTGTGTGCTGTGTGCATACACAGGTATACATCTGTGTTCTTACATATAAAATCCTGCGTGGGCATTTTCTTTTTTTTATTATGAGCCCTGGGGCTTGTTCTCACTGTAATGATAGCTTGACTAATCTACACTTGTGTAAAGCTCCTCTCAAGTTAGCCTAACTTGAATGAGAGAAGTTGTGCTTCAAGGTAGTGATATTTGGATAAGCAGCAGAGAAGTTCAGTCTTGTCTCATTACCAGCTCTAGAGCTGGCTGCATGTTTGTACACTGGCTTTAAGCCATACTTCACTTACAGGCCAACAAAAATCAAGAAACCAAATTTTTATTTGGAAATCTTGCTTCCATGTCCTATTACTAACTTTCATCCAGCTTACCCATTCTTTGGTTAAAAAAAATGAAAAGTGGGGTGGAAGAGAAAAAGAAACATTAACTGTCTTCACTTTTTTTTTTTTTTTTTTTTTTTTGTTTTGGGTGTGATATGGGTATGTCAAGTTCTGCCAAATAAAGAAGTAAATATTTGAGAAGCTGTGTCATGTTTTCATCCACACAAAATCATGGAGAAAGGGTGCAAGAGAATGCAGAATATGAAAGAAAAAGATTTATTTCTTAGAAACTGGAGACGAATAAGTTTGCAGGAAGGCCTGCAACATCCAAGGGAAGGACAACAAGAGAGGAAAAAGTAATGGATATGGAGAGAAGCTGTTGAAAATGAGAGGGAGAAGAATGTGAAAGGAAGTGAAGAAAAAAGAGAGGGAGACCTGCAGAGCTACTAGTGGAAATAAAGACATGCAGGCAAATAATATGAAATGGCATGCAGGGATATCGTATGAATTGACGTCAACTGGAAGATGAGAAGGTGATGGCACTGGCATAGATAGCATCATTCAGGATGATCCCACAGGCCTTTCGTGTGCTGCATGCCCACTGCACTTGCTCCTAGGATGGTTTTTCATCTGGGGAAGACTGACATTCGCTTATAGGTGTAACAGCGTGACAGAGATGTCGATGTCAGGAAATGTGCTCAGTTAGATGTGCTCACATTCTTTCAACTTGAGTTGTCAGGTGCAGTGTTTATACCAGCACTGGTAAATACTATCAGAGGTGCAGGGGGAAGCGGCTCTGTGGGCCTGGCAAGACTGCTAGTCAGCAGTGAAAACTGCTCTTTTTTTGCCTCTGCCCTCCTTGTTTGACCCTGAAAGTAGAAGAGATTTCTCCAGATGTACGAAGGACAGATGTGTCAAGTGAAGTGTTCTGCTTTTACAGTCACTTTTCTGATTATAGTGGCCATGTTAAATTACTTGAAAATGAAAGCAGTAATTGCCAAAAGAAACCTAACGAGAATAGTGCTGAACCATTGTTTTCCAAATTAGTAAATATTCCAGTAGGTGCATTTTTTATTTGTTTGTTTGTTTTGTTAGTTAAGACATTTAGAGTGCTTTTATTCATTCAAACATTTGGAACTGAAAATTGACAGTGCATTTCCAAAAGAAAAAAGCTGTTTTAATTCACAAAAGAGACTAGAGAAACCTCAGTAAGAAATGCTTAATGCACCATCTCACATGAGAGCAAATGAAAAAGTAGTATTGTTGGAGCAGCAGTGTGCACGAAGTATAGATCTAAATATTTCTATTGGTAAACGGTTGGCATTCCTACCAACCCTTCCTGTAAGGGCTGTGATGTCATGTACTGTCAAGTCAGCTTATGCAGTGATTGTTGACATGAGACTTCCACAGAAACCTGGGCTTTTCATCTTCCTTTTTGTCAGGTTATCTACTTACACTGTTGAGATAAGTCTTGATTATCAGCTGTTGTTTAACTGCAGTGTTCCCAGTTGTGCCTGAACTTCACGACAGGGAAGTGTATCATATACATTTCTCATTGAATAAGTAAACATCAGCCAAAACAATAATATACAGTTTCTTAAACATAGGTTTCTAGATATATAGTTCAGCATGTATATAAAAAGCCCACTGAATAGCTCAGCTGTTTTGCCCAGTTCCTGCTTTTACTAGAAATAATAGTAAAACCCTTGTCTGCCTCAGAGGTGATGATTTGGTAATGGAAACAGTAGTTTAAAGTCGCTATCAGCCAGGTAAGAGTTAAATAAAAAAACTATTTAGCAGAAACGTATGTGAGGACAGGACTGCTGTTGTGAAATTCCTTAGTCCTGCTGATACAGTTCTTAGTTCCATACTGACTTAAAAATCAGAGATACTAATAAATGGAACTAGTTTATAGATATTTTCTGGATAGTTGTCTAGGAACTCAGTGTATTGCTTGTTAGTTTTGGTACACATATTAGAAAATTGCTTTCTCACGACTCCTAAAGATTTTTTGCACCTCTGCCTGAATTTCAGCTCTCATTAGATCCTGTGATCAGCTTTCACTGTACTTCAGTCTGTGTATTATAGTTCTGACATTCTGTTGATACTGTTGTTAGCTGTTGTATAAAATTATGTGTAGCGATTTATTAATCTCATACTGATCATGGTATTGTCATCTTTTTCAGTGTACCTTGAGGATAGTTTTGTAAAATCCGGAGTGTTCAACGTGTCAGAACTTGTGAGGGTGTCCAGAAGTAAGTTATCATTTGCATTTAATAATCTCCAAAGCCTACTATAATCAAGTGAAGGTTTTTTCTCCCCAAGATGTAAGATGCATAGGAAATACCTGTAATCACACATAATTTTGATGTCTTTGACCACAGTATTACATTTCATCTTGCATTTGTTTGTAATAAAACAAACAGAAGTCTTCTTTGGTCTTTGATATTTAAAGATTGAGTCAATTTGTTATGTGTTCCTCTGCGCAGCTTAATACACTGATATGGCAATAAAATTATCATAAACATAACAAAACCTTCTATTTGTTAGACTTGCAGGTTTCTGAGGTTGTCCTACAAATCCTTGGATTTTGCTAAACCATCTGATTATTCTTTTAGTTTGTTTTTGAATTTGTAGCTCTTATAAGAAAAGTCACAGCATGGATATAAAGGGCGATTAATATATTATACACTTGTGTTTCTTTTACTCATAGCACTGGCTGTAATTGAATTTCTAATTACATTGGCTTGTTTTGGCATCAGAAATATGCATATGAACATACAAAAAAAACCTTACATAAAATATAATTCTCAAAGGACAGGTGAAGCTTTTATTACAGAAAGAAAAACCAAAATGAATATACATAAGATCTGTTTTGTTGACATCTAAGAATTTGCTGTAATAATATGTCATAAAACCAGTGCATATTTTAATTTGACATTCCTTTCTGAATGCTTCTTTTCTCCCTTTAGTATCAGCACTATGAAAGTATTTCTCTTAAGACTTATTAGGAAGTGAAAATAAATGCTTTCAAGTTTTAGTTAGAAGTGTCTGCAATGATGACACCAACATTATAACAACTAAATGGTCCAGGAAAATCTCTTTTCTGATGTGGTGAGGACAAAATCAGTGAGGCACAAGTTTCCAAAACCATCTGTCCAAATTTTGCTCAGGACTTGATTCATGCCAGCTTACAATGACTGAGGAATTTAATTAACGTAGTGAGGCTTAAGGTACGTGTGTCATTTCATTTGCTGTGGTCAGGAATTAATATTCAACAATTAAAATTATGTTAAGTCATTCAGCAAAATACTGAGCTTTGCCATCCTGCAGTATTAAGACATATTCTTTTTTATGTTTGCCGACGATATGGTTTTGCTGTTTTAGGAAGCTGAGGACGTGTGGAATACAGCCTTCTTATGGTTTTCAGGTGGTTAAAAACATTTTAAAGTATCAGGACATTCAGATTAGAAAAGATTCAGTATTGTACTTATGTTATGAAATTGTACCTTCTGCAGCTGTTATACACGATATACTTCTAATAATAAACTTTAAAGCATGTGGTTTCTGTGGAATTTCTTACCATGCATTTGTTTAACCCCAAGCCACAACGGATTTGTACTTTAACTGTCAGGAAAATACAAACTGTCAGACACACTACACAACATACAATTATTCTTTTAAGTGCCAAAAGTAGTTAAACTGCACAATGCACAGACAATGAACAAAGGTAAATGCATCACAATACATAACATATAATTTATTCTTGAAATGCCAAGACGTGCGGTACACAGACTCTGTAAGGAGGTGAAGATAAAGCTGATGGTGTGTGTTTGTGTGTAGGTGCACATACGCAAAGCCATACCTGTGGCACTGGGTGAAAGAAAAAGGAGGCATCAAAACATACTGTCAGCACAGAAGACTATTATTAATGCAAAAGAGTTAACATTAAAGGAAAAAAGTTTGTGCATCCCCAAGGTTGTTATTTCAGTTCTTTAATAAATATTGTTAGCTGTCCATATAAGCACTGGCTCGTTCATTGTAAAAGTCCTTCTACAGAAGGCTTGACTGTGTGCTGAGGTTCGTGTGACCTTTTTCATATTGATGATTCCAGGTTATCTGTTATACAAAAAAATACATGATGGCTGCATAACTGCTAAGGGATTTCTAGGGACTGGGGAAGATAATTCACTTTTTTAGATATATAAATATTGATATAACTTGTCTGTACTTGGTTTCTGCAGGAGGCAGAAAATTAGATACATGTAGTAACATCTCAGTGTTTTTCCCAGTGTTAAAAAAGAAAAGATGGCTACAAAGATAGAAGATTACCTTTGACTCAGTATGATGATGTATTTTTCAGCACCCATAACCCAGGGAACTGGAGTGAACTTCCCAATTGGAGAGCTTCCAAGCCAGCCATATTACCATGATATGAATTCGGGTGTAAATCTACAGAGGTCCTTGTCCTCTCCACCAAGCAGGTAAAAACTTGAATTTTTGAGTGCTAATATGAAACCAGGTTTAATAGTATAAGACAAGTAATTCACAAATACTGTCAACAGCCAACTATTCTATGAGTTTCCTCTGATTTTGTGAGGGAAGCTACTTAACATATGTTACTATAATCTATGTACAGATATATATATGTTATGAATCTTGTAATTTGAAGTGGTGTTATTATTGCCTGTCATTGTTGTTGGTATCGAAGAAGATAGTAACTTCTGTCAGGGATTGAAGTGCTCACTAAATCATCTGTCAAGAGAAGAACTATGAATCCTG